GAAGTGTATATTTATAAAATCTAAATCCAGGCAGTACAATTAAAAAGATTTATGAAAATGCAAGGATAGAATCCCCTCCCCCCAGAAATGTCCTAGATTATCTTCTGAATGGCATAGCTCACAGACTGTTGGAGATTCACACATGTATCTGAGAATCCATTTCTGAAATAAAAGTTAATTCTTAGGTTGCATTTATAGGAAGAGTTTTCAGGTTGGTTTTTTTACCTTCTCTCTAGCTGGGAAGGGGTTTACACAAATTTGTATCTGCCTTCTCCTTGCCTCCATTTCTTACCCAATCATTGATCCTTTAGTTATTTAGGGAATAATATGACCTTCTTTTGACTATTAATTTTCCTCACCTCAGTAACCCTAGCAAGATGAGATTGTCACCTGCAGATGTGGCAACTGAAAATGTTTTGGTTATCCAATGCAAGACCATCACCATTGCTAATAGCAATTGTTCTCCAAATAATATCTGTGGAGTATGTCTGCTGTAATGACATAAATTTGAGCATTTGTTTTTCAATAACGTTACAGAGGTCTTGATCCTATCCAGTTCCAGCCATTGTTACTTACAGTAGATTGTGAATAGACTGTTTTTGCCATATTGCCAAATAATTTTGATCAAACCATTTCTGTTTCAGTCATGCTTCTCATTTGAACATATCAAACATGAGCCAAAAGTAAGTGGATGCATCTTATTATGAGTGTTTCCCCATAATTTGAAAAGAAGCCACATGGATTAGGCAGCAGTGTCAGCTCAGAGAAAGCAGTGAAAAAATGAGAGAGGCAAACGAGGCAATTAGGCTGCAGGGATAAAGAGTTTTATTGCTTCATTTTGGAGCTATATGTAGAAGGAACCTTATTGTGCAGATAGGAATAATAGCTAGAAAATAATTATCAATTATATGCTCCTAAAATGAGAAAGAGAGAAGAGTTTAGAACTACATTTACTTTAAGGTGCTCATCATAGTTGGGAACCTTTTCGTATCATACTCCTCTTCAGTGTTTTCAGACTTAAACAGTACTGTGTTCCAACTTCATTTAAAAGAGCAATAGGACATCAAGTTATAGAGAATACTATGGAAAATTGAATTATATCTTGCTATATAAAATATAGTAGAACAGTATATCTCCCTAGCTTTTCTCAACTGTTTTTATTGATGACAGCATTGCTCTTGTAACTAACATGGAGGTAATAGGGAATGCAGTAAATTCAAAATTATTGTCTGTGTAACATTTCTGTATTTGAGGTTTTTTTTACATGAAGTGATGTTTCAGAGCTGAATTCAGATAGCCAGTACAGTAACACTCCCAAAACATTTCTTATTATTGCTTCTTTTAATTTATCCATGGGAGGCAAATATTTTCATTTGTAATTTAACTTCTTCTGGGAAGTTCAATATCCACAGAATATGATAAAAAGATTCTAAATTCAGTTTGATTGAGTTAAGATTTCTGTTGGGGTGTTTATCTAGTTTTTCCCTTACCATTATCTGTTTATGAGTTTGACAATCTTCCACTGGTTTTAAGATAAGTATTTTATAATTTCATTGCAGAATGGAAAATATAGGTACAGCTTCCCTCATATTTTTTTTTTTATAGGACATGAGTAATAATTTAGACTAAAACTCTTTCCATAGAGAATCTTTGTAGTATGAGTCTATGCAGTATGTACTGAAGGGTGAAATACAGCAGACTTAAGAGAGAGTAATTTCTTGCTGGACAACTAGTAGGGACTAAATGCAACAGCAGAATTGAGCTTTGAACCATAAGTACCATAAGCAAAGTTGCCATATCAAAAACTCCATCTAATCAAGTCTAGAAAATACTAGTGAGCATTACTTGCTCCATAGTGAAGATTAAAACTAAGATCCCATTATGAATCCAGAGACGAATATACTAAAAGCAAGAAACCAAAAACTGTGAAATGCACAGGCTTCATCTTGACTGTGTGTAGAGGATATTGGAGGGAAAAAAGAAAACTTGAAGGAAGGTTGAAAGAAATCTTGGAAGAAAAATCAGAAAGGAAGTTCAAAACTGAGACTATTAAAGAATGTTTCTGCTTTTCTCTTTCCAGTAACCTAGAAAATAGAGATGAAATAGCTGGTTTAGAATGGTAAACAAATCTTAAAAGGAACTATTATTTTACCAAAGAATCCTTACAAAATCCTTAAAGTCCTTACTAAAACTCCTGTTTTTCCTTATCAGACCAACAATTCTGGAGTTACTTTTAGTAAACGTAATTTTAATACCTTAGCTAAAGATGTTAAATGAGTACATGAACAGTTAGAGATAATGTTTCTAGGAAATCAAATCCAATTTTTGGATAATCATATCAAAGACATAGTATTATGTAATCAGTCTGTGTGAAATGAGATGGAAAGTTAAGTTGTTTATGTATCTTAAACACTACCTTCTAAAACTCAGGTTTGCCTTATAGATTACCAGATTACTTTAAATATGATTATTTAAGAAAGGCCAGTGACATCCTTATTGTCAAACTTCTGACCCTAAGTTCTCTCAGATAGCTTGCTTTCTTCATCTAACAGGCAGATTAGCCACGAAGCTTATTTTTACTATTTTCAACCTAAGACTCTTTATCTGAGTTTTCATTATCTCAGCAGACTTGCCTTTCACTGTAAGCTGCTTCATAGGAACAGATTTTCTGCTGAAAAAATTAGCTGGGATACTGCCATTAGTCTCCTCCCATCTTGTGCATTGGTTATTCATATTGATAAGACAACAATTATACACTGTATATTGTTTCTTTTCACCTAGGGAGCTTGTACTATACACAAGCAGTGTGGAAGTTTCATGAAAGAAGATTTTACTGATTATAATACAGTTGGTTTTGTTGTGTGATCTTATTTTATAGTAATATATCAATTTTTATTACTTGGCCTATTTATTGAAAATTCAGAGGCTGGGTTCTCACAACTTACAAACCACTAGTACAGAAGTTCTTAATAATTATTGTGAGATTTCTTCTTAAAATCCATAGTTGCAGCATTATAGTCAGATGTGGACAAGTTTTGCCAAGAATTTGAGCTTTAATCAGCATTTTTTGTGGGTGGATATGAAAAAAACAAAATAATTTTGTGGGCGTAAAGAGAAAAATCACATTTTTCTCTGAACAGCTGTATAATAGCCACTTTTAAAAGCTAAGTAGTAAACACAGAAGGAAAGGGTTTCACAGCATAGACTGTAAGGCAAAATATTTCTGGCTTCCATATTGTGGGAGTTATTATGGAGCACAAAATGCTAAGTAAAAATTGTCTGTATGCTCGGACAGCTGACACTTCAAGCAATGAGTTAGAAATCGGAGTCCTTTTCAGAGCCATGCCAGTTGCCAACTACTTATGGCTTTGGAACTAATTGGGGAGTGAGTAGTACACACAAATGCTTTATGATCTAGAGCTTGTCATACCTATATTTTGTAGCGATTTTTTTTCATAATAAAGCTTTTGTGTCATGTGTAAATATCAGATTTGTTTTTAAACCCAGAAGTCATATTCACCTTAAAGTTAATGTATCATTCCTATTTATATGTAATGTATAACTACAAGACAGAGTTGGTAGACAGAGGTAATATCTTTTATTGATGAGTTATTGTCACTGAAACACATTGACAAGCTTTTGAACACATAAGCTTTCTTTGTGTCTGAAACAGAAAAAGCATATTTCAAGGGCAAAGAACAGCTGAGAAAAATTGCTCAGAGTATCAGAAATATCACATCTATGAGAAGAAAGATAACTGGTAGATACAGTTAGAGGAGATATTAGTGAAGAGTGGGAGAAAAGAAGTGAGAGATTCTACTATATGTGTTTTGAGCAAAATAGTTGCAAGTCCTGATTCAGTAATCTAACATGGATGTGTATCCATCAAGGATATTTTTCCATGGAAATAGTTTGTAATTTTGAACCAGTTGTCAAAAACATATGTAAGGAATGGATTCTAAAAAAAAAAAAAAAAGACATAATCTGATAAATGTGTTTTTCCCTGTGAAATACAAACACACACACACCCCAGTTTAAAAAAGCCCACACATTACTAATTGTATCTCTCTTTTTCACATCTAAAGCTTTCCCCAGACACAAGTAGCTGTTGTAGGTTTTATTTCTGAGTTTCTGAAACTAGAACATTCAATAACAAAAAATGCAAGCTAATAATCTTACAAAGTACAAGTTAAAAGTTACAAAGAAAAATATTGAAGGATGTTTTATTGTCCTATTGACAGAGAACAGTAAAAAATTGCTGCTTCTTGGTCCTGCTTTTTTGTCAATTATTTTTTGACCACCTGGCCACTTCTTACCTGATACAGGTTTCTCCCTGTAATGAACAATTTGGCGTCTGACTTTGGCTTGTCACCAGAAGTTTGTAGTTGCATTATTGCTGTCTGCTGTTCTCAGTGGCTTTGGGAGCAGACTTCTTTTACCATCTCACAAGTGTTGTCCATAGCATGCTGAATGTTCTCAAGAAATACAAAACCTATAAGTGTAGGACTTTAAATGTCTTCTGATTCTTGTTTTGTAAAGATCTTCACACATAGTTGCTTGGTGTAGTTATTTTTGAACTTTCTCACAAATTGACCCTGGGCTGTTGACCCTAAAGGCATCTGATAAAGGCATTTTTCCTTGTGAAACAAAAAGCCAATGAGCAAAAATTACAGAGAAACCATCATATATGGTGTTGTGAAAATAGGAAATGTGGGTTTCATTTGTTCCTTCTTCTGCACGGTTCATTACAGGGACTTGATTTCATTCATATAGGTGAATAGGTATTACACAATTGTTCTTTTTAGTCTCCTATAAGAGATTAACAATCAGTACATGTGACACTATGTAAGTATGTAATTGGCACTTTGTCTGCCAATAGTGAGATGCTCACAGCAAACGTAAAGGACTTACTTTCAAGTATCTGTTCCAATTAATTTTTATTTATCATGGATGGATCAATTTCACCACAAAAGACTGAAGCAGCCAAGTCAGTAGCTAAGATGCCCCAGACCAGGATTCAGATCCGCTCAGAGTCGAGCAGTGAGGAAAATGAATCATGGTTGCAAACAGAGAATGTGTGTCTGCTGCTTGCTGACTATGGGATTTACCCAAGAAGTGTAAAACCCGAGATCAATTCCTGACTGCTTTATTTCAGACTTTTCTTCCACAATTCAAGCGAGAATGTGATTACTGGCCCCAAATCACAGGCTGAGTATTTGTTTGCTTAACCTGACAAATTTTTTTTTAGGATATTTGGATCTTCAGCTTGATCTATGTGACAAAGCTTGTTAGGTGTGAAGGAGGAAGCATCTACCCAATTCTGAAATATAATCTCACTGGAAAAATAGGGTAGCAGCTAAGCAGTGTTTTAAAGATGGAAGTGGATGCCTAAAGAGGTGTATTGATCTCCAAGTGATTTTGAGGATCACGTTCTGTTCAGAGAAAGTGCTTTGTTGTTGAGTCACTTTTTAGCTGTATTCGGAGCTTTGACAGGCTGAAAGCAAACAACTACTGGTTCTCTCTGGCTACCCTGAGTGTATGTCACGTCAGAGTGCTGATGGGTAGAAGCAGGAAAAGGGAAGAAAACTAGGACGAGTGAAAAATCCCTCACAAAGTCTATAACTTGGGAAGGTTAGCACACTTTGTATTTTAGGATTGGAGGGAGATTCCAATTAGAAATAGGTACCTGATTTCTCTACCTTTTTTCACAGTAGAGACCCATGGGATTACTTCAGAATTCTGCTCCTGAAATTAATAGGAAATAAAATTAGGTCTATATTCTAGAAAGTTGGGAATTCTGTACAAATATGGATATTTATGCTGTGTTGGGTACTTGTTCGTTACAGGATTCTTTGTCTTGTTTGTTCTTTTGAGTGTCCGAGTGGAGATGCAAAGATCAGATTTTTCTTTAATAAACAGAATGTTGTTCTTAAAATGGCTAGTTTGATTCCTATGGGTAACTTACAAAGTAAGATGTATAAGCAGGAATATCAGAATCTGGTACTGCCTTATCAAAAAGTGAAAATATATGGAAGCATATTAATTTTCATTCTTTTCTTTAGGTCTAGTATTTCTGGATTTCAATATCTGGCCATAAACAATATTTGAGACTTAATGATATTCTGCAGTGATACAAAATAATTATTATTTACTAAACATACCTGTGTAGATGGCATTAATTATCTGCTGACCTGACCACATTGTATTAGTATTGAAAAATTGCATTTATTTCTTTATTTATTTTGTATTTTCAGGTAGAGATTGAAAATCTGGACTATCATTACTATCTGCCTTTGTTTTTTGATGGGCTTTGTGAAATGACATTTCCATATGAGTTTTTTGCTCGCCAAGGAATCCATGACATGCTGGAACATGGTGGAAACAAGATTCTTCCTGTCGTTCCTCAGCTCATTATCCCAATAAAAAGTAGGTGAACATGTGGAAAAAAGAAATTCCTAAAATTGCATTTATATAGTGTAGATTTTTGACAAGTTGCTAATTAAGCAAAAAACCATGACAAGTTGTACATTTTATGGCGATTACTGCAAACATGAGTAAATTGTGAGGTATAAGGCCTGAAGGTTTATGCCTTCCATCACCTGGTACGTGCCATAATCCAGAAGAACAGACTGACTGGTTAGTATTTTTCTTATTACAATGTGGCTCTTGGTCTTTGGAAATTTGAAGTGACATTTTCTTACCTGATTTTGTATATTTATTATGTAAATCCATTACTGTATAAGCCAGTTCATCTAAAATGACAGTAGAAATCAACAGATGAAACTTACGGAATTATGTTTCTTTTTGTCCTTTTGTTTATTCTACAGTTGTCTTATATTTTTTCACTAGATATCTTGTCTATCATCATTCTCGTTACTTTGCATATGCATATATCTATCTAAACTGGGAGTTCTGCCTGACTAATTAACATGGTATGTAAAATTTTGGCATTTAAATCTAGTTTTGAAGTTTTTATATATTCAAACAGTTTTTTGTAGAAAAATCATGTGAAAGGTAGTAAATTTTTTTAATATAAGTGTAATACCACTAAAATTAAAACTTCTTTTCTTGAAACACCTAGTGTTTCAGATATATTGCTTTGTCCTTTCCTGTTTCTTTAGACCAGTGCCTTGAGGAAATATTATTCTGAACCATCATCCTTCTTTATTTAGGTATTATGATTCTTAAGTCTTGGTGCTACACCTATACTAATAGATGTTCATATTTCTTAAACTTGGTTCCTGTTTTGTTGTTGATCAGGAGTGGTATCATTGCTGTCCTTTGTCCTGTTTTCCTGAGATGATTCAGAATCCATGCTAATACAGAACAAAACAGTAATTGTATTTGTGATACAGAATTAATAGAGTCAAATACAGTTTTGGAAATGGGGAAAGGGAATGTAGTTAGGAGCCTGATAATACTGTAATAGTGCTGGAAGGGTCAGAACTGTGGCTTTGTGATTCAATTTATTCTCCATTTAAAAACGCTAATTATAGATGTCATCTCTTATCTTACTGTAGGTTTTGAAAATATCAAAAGCAATATATGTTATTCAGAATGGTTACTCTGTAAGTGACACTTGTGAAAGGTTATGAAAACTATGTTACAGTTTTTTCTCTCTAAAAGGGAAACGCATAAAGAGAGGAATCATGTCATTTCTTTAAACCTATATTTCCAACACCACCCAAATATATTTATAGCAGTATCCTTTTTTTTTTGAAAGCTGGAATTGTTTCTTCAGAAAAGACTGCAAGTTTATGACAACAGCTACTCAGTTAGGATTTAAAAGTCTTGCTGAGACCAAAATCTGGCTTAGAAATAATTACCTGGAAGCTTTAGCTGTTAGGCAGCTTTTAGCATTAGAAAGACACTGCTGGTTAAGGATATTTATATGAGTTTGATATATAGTCTTTTAAATCAAGTTGTAATTTATGATGCTGGAATCTGTTAGCTAAATTTAGTTGTCCGTTCTGCTTTTTTTTATTGTACAGTGCTTATTTTTTTATTTTAAAAAATCTTCTGTATTGGCTTTAATGTGTGAAGAGTCTAAGTACTATCAGTGATAAAGGCTTCTTCCTGATTAAATCCATATTAATATTTAGAAAAGACACCGCCATCTCAAGGAATCTGAAAGTGTGTATTTCTAAGAGTTTTAAAATTTGCTGCGAGTGTGTAATATAGTGGTGTAGTCAGAGCTGTACATTTCTGTGACTCAGCTGCATCCACAATAAACTCAGCTATGTTTTAGACATATTACTGTCTCTGAAGTGTCCCACTGGGTGAGTTGTATCTGATTAACCAGTCTTCTAGACCACTACCGTATTTCTACTGTGAAAGAGTAAATCGATTGTTAGGCAAGGTAAGGTATATGATGGAGGGGAAAGGGATAAAAGAAAGACAGAAAAATAACTCTACAGATAGAATGCTTTTAAAAGCAGTTTTCTCTCCTGCATGTTCATCAAAGGAAAATATTAGTAAAGAGCTGGTCTCTAAAAACAGTTTAAATTAAATATTAGAATTCTGTATAATATTTTAATAATTTAAGGAGAAATCTTTCCTCCACCCATCCTTGCTTAAAGTTCACACTTTTTGAACACTGTATGATTAAAGATGAAAATTATATTATGTAATGAATCTGTGGGTTACTGTAAGCCCAAATCTTTTCAACAAATTTTCTTCTGGTTGCACAAACAGGCATTGACTAACAGAAGGCAGACAGCTGAAATTAACAGGTCCAGTTTCTTTCCTAAAATAACTGAAATATGATTAACGTAATATGGATGAATGCTATTTAGTTGAAAAATAATTGCTTATGTTTGTTTGTCACATTGAAAGACACTCTTTTTTTTGGAAATTCAGAGGAAGAAGAAAAATCTCAGGTTAGAGGCATTGATTTCTCAAAGAGAAAAATTTTCAAAATATATTTTGATTTCTCAAAGTAAAAATTCAAAATATATTGTACCTTGCAGTGGCAAAAGATGATAAAATAGTTTATAAATATAGTCATTGCATGGCTTTAAAACTGGAAAAACCGAATTACCTGTATTTGCCAAACCTGTAAGGAATCCAACTAAAAATAAAAAAATGCAAAATTAGAAAACATGAATACTTTAAGGTGTTAAGACTTTTTACTCCCTTTCAGAGAAGGTGTAGGCAAACCCATTGTCTATGTTATTTAAACTAGAGCAAAGATTCATAAATTCAGATACATCGCCAATGACAAAGTACTTTGTAGAGGTATTATGAAAGTTCTGATGCACAACACACAGCAGAGTATCTTCTTTGCCAGAAAGATCCGTATTGTTATTTTTGTATTGCAGACAGGTAAAGAGGTCAAAGGAAGCTAATGTTGCCCCGCATCACAAACTGCACTGGTGGCCGAGAGCAGAACGGAGCCCAGACACACACCCCTGGGGCAGCAAGCAAAGCTACCTGTAGTCATGTGAGAGTGCCTGTATTTTTAGGGAAGAGAGGGATCTGTCTGGCCCCGCCATGTCTTTCAGTAATGCACTGGTGTATCTTAAAACTCACTGGTGGCTGACCATTACCTACAGCCAGGAGAAGGGGCTGAGGGTGAGAGGTGCCTGTTGTGCCATGTGCTTGTCAGTGGAAAACTCCTGTTCTAAATTCTCTGTGCGCATTATGGGGGTGTATTATTCCCTTTGATATACTCATTTTGGGGGCAAATTAGTGCTTTTAATATTACATTTGCCGTAACAAATGCCACATCAGAAAAGCCATAAGTCCTTTCACTTGCTTTCGTTAGGCTTCTGCAACTCAGAGATTCCTGAGCACAGAGTTCCCAGATTCGACATGAGGCACACGTGTAGATATAAACACTGAGGGTGCAGGAAGTTTCTACACCTTTGCCTGATATTTCTATGAGTAACATCAGGGACATCCAACATTTTAAACATTTTAACATTTTAAAATTCTCTTTCATTTAAGAAAGTTATGATGAACTTCTGAAAATACTTGTTTGGAAAAACTGTAGCAGTACAAAATAAAATGTGTTTGAAGTAAATACTTCATTATATATTTGCATTGAGCAATTATTTAAGCTGGAGGGTCTCCTGGAAAAGTGTGTGTTGTCCTAATCACAAACAAAATTGTCAAATTTATGTACCAATAAAGGAAAAAATACCAGAACTAGCAAGCAACAGAGTCAATTTATTGGGTTAGGGTTTTTTTCAAAGTTGCTGCTTGAGAGAATTGTACAATGCATAGCATGTAGACTCGATGACCAAAAGGGAAATATGAACCATTGAGGGAGGGAAGTCCTCTAAAAATCCTTTAGGGAGCAGAAAGGTATCTATAACTGAGAAGCAAACCAGTCATTCATTCACTTTGCTGTTATTGTGAAGATTCACCTCTTACAGCAAACTTCTAGGTCAAGAAGCAACAGCCTAGCAGGCTTTCAAATTGGAATACTTTGGATATTAGGCATGTTTCCTTCTTTAGGGATATTTAGCTGTACTGTACTAGGAGTTTTAAATGGTCTGCTTCATTCCCACGTAAGGATACTAGTACTTTCTTCCATTTCAGATAACCTTTGGGTATCACTGACATTTTTCAAAATGTTGAAATGTACTTATTTCATATACTGCATTAAAATTTTCTTCCTTTGATTCATATGGGAGAATGGTCTGCGGTGATGGTAGTACACAGAAAATAATTACCAGATTTTAAAAAGATAAACATATGTTTGAAATGGACATATCATTGGGGCAAGGACCGTCTCTAATTAAATGTTTATACAGTGCCTAATATAATCAAGCCAGGAGCTGGTTGACTGCTATGCATGCCACAGTCCAAATATTTAATAAGAATAACAACAGTTCTGCAGTCAATTTGATCTTACTTTGATATTTACAAGTGTTTTCCTAACCCACACTGCAGATTTCTGCAATTTGAGGGGCTTCAGGCTCAAATTTTGCAGTCTGTTTGATTCTACCATATCCACTCAAAATCTTGATCCAAATTCTATCTTTTGTTTTGTGTGTCAAATGGAGGATGGGATGCCCTTGTTTTGAGGGAGGTGGCACAAGTATCCAGCTGATTTTCTAGCACGCAGATGAAACAAATGCCAGCATTGCTGTTTGGAGTCCCAGCAAGCACCCCGACAGCACAACTCAGATGTAAGGAAACTTGCATGACAGGTTCCATGATGAGCTGTTCTTTGAAAACAGTCTTCTGGATTCAATATGTGTTCAGTTTGCTGAACTTCTTAATCGTGAGGCATAATTCACACTCCTGACTTTATTAAGGAATTAATCTTTACCAGGACAGCCTTGGCTTCCACTCGAACCGGGGCTGGCTTTGCACAAGACAGAACTCTGCAAACAGAAAGCTGTGAAAACCTTTGAGAGCCACCGTCTGCAGAGAGGAGTTCTTCCCAGGGGTGGTCGAACAGCCGTTTCCACTTACATGAGACCCTCCGCAAGCCTAAAAATAAGGTCTCTCATCCTCTAGGACAGCTTCTACAGCCAGGACAAACTGTTCCTGGAAGTGGGTACAGTTTGTTGATTAAGGATTAAGAAGCTAGGATTTCTGACACTGGTTAATTTTTATGTCCCTTAAGTTAATTATTAATGTTTGTATGAATAATTCATTTTATTCATGTTTGTATGAATTCATTCATACAAATGAATACAAATATTCGTTCATGTTTGTATGAATAACTAATAGTTATTGTACTGAAAATTACAAGTGTTAATGATAATTTCCCTGTTAGTTCCGATAGCTACTGTTTCTGTGTATGACAATTTAGTTATGAATAAACCTATATGTTGGAACCCCGGAGCTTCCTCTTCCAGTCCCTCCTGTAAGAAAATGAATAAAGCCTGTTCCTCTGTGAAAGAATATTTTCCTGCCTGGGATTTGGACGTAATCTTGAAAATTGTAGCTGGCAGTCTCTCTTTGCTAAAGCAACCTTAGAACATCTACCCATGAAAGCATAATTTGGAATAGCCAACCTCTTTGCTGGCGCTTGGTATGAGCATGCTGCATGAATGGACTTCGTGTCCACACATTGATGTGCTCAGAGGCAATATGAAATTAGGTGTAGCCTGATGGCTGCAATATGGACTGGCAAATGAGAAGTATGGAATTCAGTCTGTATTTTCATTTAACAACACTTCTTTAACTTGGAATCACCCTATGATGCACTACAGCACCTCTATACCTTGGGCTCTCTAACTCCATTCTGTATCAGTAGGTTTAGTATGCTGTTCATAAGCATGCAAAGAGGCATGAAGGGAGGTTACTTACTAGTTGGTTTTCAAGAGTTGTCTCTACACATTGACACAACCAGTCTGTCTGGCCCTTGCTTTGGAGCTCTAGCTCTGATTTTTAACACTCGGCAGGCATGCGATAAGAAGCAGAAGCAGGTGGAGCTCAGTGCATTTGCTTAAAGACATGGAAAAATTGACATTGCTTCTGTGTGAGAATACGACTTAATTCCCTATGAAACAGCATTACTGCGCACTGACAAAACTTAGTGCCAGAAATACTGAAGCGTATTACTTCAGTGGGAAGAGGTACTTCTTGGAGAAGTTGTTAGTAACTCCTCTTCCTTTTTTTTTGTGTTTGCTATAATTTTTTCCGAGTGCTTACACTTATGGTCTGTTATGTTGAACCACATACTTATATACTACTGTTGTTATAAAACATATCACATTGAATTTGAGCTTATCTTTTACAGGTTTTGCTTACCCAGTGCAATGGTGTAAACATCTGTGTAAGCGGGCAGAACACTGGAGCATTAGACCAATATATAATAGTGTACCAAATTTGACAACTGCTTCCAGCTGCGTAATCTCAGAGGAGGTTTTATAACTAGAGAGATTTTTCAAGAAAAAAAAAATATATTTCAAGCATGACTCACTTTTAATTACAAAAGAGAGTGCAAAGTACTTGCTTTTAGTAAAATTAAAAAAGAAGAGAAACAAAAGGTATTTATGAAATGTCTTAGTGTCATAAGATTAGAAGCGTGACACTGAAAGCTAAGAGAAAAATCTAAGTAGGCAAGACAAAATCTTTTTTTTTTCCTAGAATGTTTGTCTTTTAAAAAAGCCTACAAGGGTTTTTTGTGTTTTTTTTTTTTCTATAAACATTTGCTTCATTGTACTGATTCTCAGAATAGTAGGAATTGTTAGCTGAATGAATAAAATGATCATGAAATATATGAGTACAAACATACAAACACTAATTGTTGTACTAGAATGTGTCTGTTGTCAACCTTTGCAGGTTGTCTTGCAGTTGTATAGTTCCATTGGCCCCAAATGGTACTTACTGAGCATTTATTTTTTATTTGTTTGGACCACGCCAGTATTACACAGGCAGCATGAGGGAATAATGGGCTGCATTCTTTGGGTTACTGAAGAGTCAGCACAAATTGTGGGAACAAATAGCAATCAGACAAGGCAGTGTTTTATAACATCAAGCCTGCAATCCATCTTTGGGATCTTTCAAAGCTGGGCTAATAAAGGCCCACTTACAATCCCCAGCAGAGTACAGTTTAATTAAATTTGTCCATTAGAGGACTCCTCCCCCTCCCTCTACATTTGAGAAATTAATTCTGCTTTCTGCCTGTTGTTCTTTCTACATCACAGATGCACTGAGCCTTCGTAACCGACAGGTCATCTGCGTCACCCTGAAAGTCCTCCAGCACCTGGTGGTATCAGCTGACATGGTGGGGGAGGCCCTGGTGCCCTATTATCGACAAATCCTCCCAGTCCTAAACATCTTTAAGAATATGAATGGTGAGTTATCCTAACAGACACTGTGTCTTGCAACTCCTAAGGTAAAAAGGGGCTTGAGGCAGGGTTAATTAACAATGCAGTTAAGATTTATTACTGTATATAAACTCAAATCCATTTGAGGCTCTAAATAATGTAAGCCCCCCCCTTACTATTCCCTAAGGATCCACTGAAATTAACAATTTCATTTATTACTCCTTGCACGTACAGTTTATTTAATGCAGTACAGAAGCACTGAAGCAGTTCTATAATCTTCCAGTAATTAAATTGTAAAGTTTTGTAACAGTCTTTTGAATACATTAATAAATTGCAAAGGTTTTTTTCCTCCCTCCAACACATTAGTTTAGTCCAGCCTTTTTATTCCATTCTGTGCTCTTCACAAGCAATTCGCTGCTACCAGCAGACTTAGGAAAGAGTAAAAATAAAAGTAGCAATCAAACTAATTAATTTGAGGGTCAAGAGAACTCCTTGTTGTAGAAAAATTTCAAGTTGCATAACGTCTAGCAAAACAGTGAAGTTTGAAGTTATTACTGCTCACTTAGCAGGTTTTATGGTAGAGAAATTTAGAACTAATTTGTACCTGCAGTTGAGTATGTTGTTTTCTTTGTAGTGTAAACCTCTATTGCCGGTTTCAGTCATTAATAACTGGTACTTTGACTACTGGATACTGTGAATGCATTTACACCATAGCCACCAGCTGAAATCAATATGATGTATCCTGCTTTTGCCAAACTAGTCTTTAAAATATTTTTCTGTAGTAAATCTATCTGTACTTATCTGTTCAATTATCTACCAAGTTACTGACTTTAAAGTTTCTGTCACTGACATGCAGCCATATACATCAAAAGAAGTTAATTCCTCAGAATCTTGCAAAAGACGTTTTTCATGAAATTCATGACATTTTAATAGTTATCTACAGGACTACTTCCGATTACGCTTTCTCTTTGCATTACTACAGAATGTATTATCTTATACTCACTCTTCAGTGAGCATAAAATTCAGCTCAGATTGAAAAATGCCTGTCCAAAGACTGACTTGGAGACTCAAATGAGATTTTGATTTTAGATTCCTTTAAATGTATGTATGTCTGTGACTCGATTTTACTTAGTGAGAAACTTGCAGTAACATATGGAATTCCACAAATGCAACATGGTTCAGATGACAACTGTGGCTTTCTAGAAGTTGTGGGATGAAAGGTTATGAATAAAATCCTTAGGCTGAACTTACATAATTTCAGTAGGGCTCCTTATGAATAGAAGATTCCCCCTTAACAGATCCAATTTCAGTATCTGGCACAAAACAAGACTGTAAAAAGAAGGACTGTCATTGATTAATGAATATACAATACATGTTTTTTTCCAAATTTCAGCCTGAAGTAGCCCATAAATTCTCTTGACTAGGCTTTTCTGCAGTGATTTCAGATGAATAATAGGGAAAGCTCATGTGTAACCAGGTACATAGCTTAACAAGGCTTTAAACACATTCTAAATATATCCTAAGTTTTGATTGTACTGTGAGCAAAATAAAACATATTTTCAACATATTTGCATGACATCTGTGCTATGTGAATTTGTGCCTATATCAAATTACACTAAATCTTGATATTTGGCATTTAAGAACTAAAAAACCAAAAATAAATGAAAAGTAATAGTTCAAAATTAATACATTTTATTAAAGCATTACTTTCTTAGGAGTAAGGGTTTTGAAAGTTCAGTATTACCAACAGTGAAATGGATACTATTTGCAAGGCCTACCATATGAAACAGTTCAACTTATTCAGTACTTACATACAGGTGATAGGGAA